GGTGGCATCCAGATCTCAGAGCTGGGGAGTAGCTGGGTGACGTGGGGCTATAGTTAGGACTGGTGGGAGAGTAGGACGGAGAGGTCGGGGAGTAGGAGGGGCTCTGGGGTGTGTAGCCCCCGGGGGAGCGAGGCTCGTAGGCAGGAGATGTGGGTGAGCGGCCTGGAGATGTGGCACCACCTGGCAAAGGGGACGTAGGGGCTCGAGGGGCCCTGGGAGCCCGGCGAGGGGGACCACGCCGGGGAGTAGCCCGGGCTGAAGCCGCTGGCATCCGAAGCAGCACCGGGGAGAAGCCAGCCGCCCCTGGGGTCATCCCACTTCCGACACTGGGAGACCAGGTGCCGTAGGCCCGAGTGGCACCCTGGTTCCAGGGAGCCATGGCCGGAGAAATCCCTCCCGTGGGACCGGGCGCTGAGCCGAAGAACATGCCAGTGGGTCCGGCGGCCCCCAGGCCGGGCATCACGTACTGAGGCTTAATGTAGTCACTTGCCACATTTGAGTCGCAAGCGAGGGGCAGCGAGGTGGGCTCCCTGCAGCCCCAGGGGCTCTCGGGCTGTCCTTGGTGCTGTTGTCATCACCCCGCCCTCCTGCTGCCCCGCACACACGCCTGCCAGAATCCCTCTCTCTCCGGGATGCTACCGTGCGTGCCTCTTCGTAGCCTGCGCGAGGAGCCTTGTGCGTAGACTCCGGCGGAGTCCTGGGCCGAGACTGAGAGTTTGCGTCACACGGAGGGGCTGGTCTTATCTTCGGTGCGAGACAGAACGGCGTCTGCGCCCGGATGCCACCTGCCTCAGTCGTTAACACCGATGTTCCCTATGGGCTTAGCGGCTTTTAGGTTACACCTTTGCTCCAGCTCACGGGAGGCCCCGCGGCCGCTGACCTTTCTGACGGCGGAAGTGGGAGCCCTTCCTCCCGCTCTTCGCTAACGCCCGGGGTCGTTCTCAGTTTTAGGAACTCGGGGAGAGGACGTGGATCAGCTGGTAGCCTGCATCCAGAGCAAGCTGCCGGTCCTGACCTGCACGCTGCAGCTGCGGGAGGAGTTCAAGCAGGAGGTGACAGGGACCGCGGGCCTCTTATACGTCGATGACCCCAACTGGCCCGGAATAGGGGTTGTCAGGTACGGGTTCGGCCTCCTGGCGGGGGTTGACTCTTCTTAGCCGTGTCAAGACTGTTGGCGGGTCATTTTGTGGACCGGCTTGGAAATCGGAGGTGAATATGTGAGGTCACGGTGTCGGTGTCCCCTGGAAATGCAGCGAGATGTTTTGGACACGTAGAAAAGCCCAGCGCGGTGGCGGTGTGGCCACCCTCGCGCTCATGAAATAGTTGTCGCTGTACTTTCTGTGCCGGCTTGCAGGTTACTGGGGAGACCGTACAAGTGCACAGCTGACGGACGGTTACTACCGTGGGGTATGGAGCAGCACGGCTCCCTAAGACCGAGAACCAGCTCGCCGGTGGGGCACGCCGCTCGGTCCCCTGGAGTGCTGCGTGTACCCTTAGCCCTGTGCCTGCTTTCCTCTCCTTCCAGGAGGGAAGGCCCCTAATTGCTTGGCTTTTTTTTTTTTTTTT